GCAGGCGGGGAACGTTGGAGTCTGCAGTCACTGCAGCAAGCAAGCCTCATTTTCGCTTCCAGCTGCCTGGCTGCCGGCCGCCATCTTGGCTGACAGTTAATTTGCATATACTCACTGATTAGCCAATGGGAAGGGTAGCGGTCGTACGCTAATTACCATGTTTCTCTTTTATTAGTGTGTGTGTATGTATGTATGTATATATATATATATAATTGAGAGAGAGAATAGTTGGATGGACTCTCTGCAAATAAAAAAACTCTATTCAAATAAGGAACTATAAGAGAGAGGAAGAGGGAGAGAAAGGTGGAGGGGGAGAGGAGTGGTGGGGAGAATTGTTAGCCAAACAGATGAGAACTAAGGAAAACCACAGTAAAGACGTTGCTTGGCTGCCCCAGTGACTGCTCCAGCATGCCGAGCATTGACAACTTGCCAGGTACGTTCGTTCTTAGAGCTTTACAGAATTTGATGTTATCCTCACAGTATTTCTGTGAGGCTCGGTCCTAGTGTTAGCCTCATTTTATAGAAGAGATAGCTGAAGCACAGAGAGGTTTTGTAATTTTCCCAGTCTTACAGCTGGGAAGTGGCCGAGAAGGGATTCAAACGCAGGCCTCTACCTGGGAAGCCGATGCTTTTAAAATCATCTCTAAGCACCGCGAAGGGTTGGGTGCCTCTGAGGCAGACACATGCCCTGGTTTTTCCAAGTTATGCACTGAGTGCATGCACAAAGTCCTGCTCCCAGCTCTCTCATCTCTTCACCAATAGCGTCTCGTCTCCATGGAGATAGCGGTGGGGCGGGACTTCCTCTCCCACGTAGGAGCACTTCCGCCGTGATCCGGAAGCGCTGGGGTAACGGAACGGTGGCGGCGAGCGAAGATTTCTCGAGGGTTGGAGTGGGGCCGCGGCGATGCTCACGCCGGCGTTCGACCTCAGCCAGGACCCCGACTTCCTGACCGTCGCCATCCGCGTGCCCCACGCTCGGGTCTCCGAGTTCGACGTCTACTTCCAGGGCGTCGACTTCAGGTTCTACGCCAAGCCGTACTTCCTCAGGCGAGTGGGCCTCGCGTCCCTGGCGGGTCTCGCCGCTCCCCGGGGGT